TCGCTTATCCAGCTCAATTATCCATCCAACTAGGCATTCTTCCATAGTAGGGGTTAGCTTTCGGCTTTTTATTTGACTAATTGAACGCGTTTCTCTTCCACCTATGTGGCGAAGTAGGGTTGAATGACATAGGTTATAAGACTTAGCAGCAGCCCGTATGCTTTTAAATTGACCCTTTTTAAATGCCTCAATAGCTAATAAAAGCCTTCCTTCGCGATTAGAAGCTTCACTATTAGGGGTGGTTGACATATTGAATTATTTGTAGAGAGATTCGTTGAATATTTGAAAGTGGTGCATTCGGTGGTGTGGTGCACAAGGTGGTGGATTACGTTAACAGGTTTCTGTATTTGCAAGTTCTTCCTGTTCTGTATTAAATAATCCCCTGTTCCTGTACGAAGCTACCCTGCAGGCAGTTATTTTGCATAAATAAATTTGAAAATAAAATACCTGGCTTGATCTAATATGGATTCGTACGACGCCCATCAGCGGAAGCTCAATGATGAGCTATCTAGCTGCAGGGAGGATGCCGTGACCAAGCCCGAACAAATCGTCCATAGAATACTCAGATTGCATCTGGTTCTAAGCAGACAGAGTGGCTGGTATAGTGCCTTACCCTCTCCTATTCTTGTCTACTTACTGATGGATCGTACGAAGCAGGACCGGTGTCAGCAGTCTGCAGACACCGTACGACTAGCTGAGGAGTCATCCTATGATCTACCCCAGGAGGCGCTCATACGCCAGGTGATGCCTGAGGTTGCAGACAATCTGCGGACCCTCCAGAGGCAGATTAGTGTCTTTGCAAACCAGAGTGAAATGAGGCACGTACGAACAGATCAAGGATTGGCTGATATAAAGAACCATATCAATCTACTATATCATGGCTCATTTGTCTTCCAGCCTCCTACTACTATTCCTTCTGTTCCTTCTAGCCCTGCCCCTGCCCCTGTGCTGTCTTTTGTTGGACCTGCTGCTCCCACCAATCCTGTTGTACAGAATAGCTCTACTGTATCTTCCCCCTCTACCTCCTCTGCTGTGTATTCTTCTGCCTCTGCCTCTTCCCCTGTTTCTGCCCTGCCCCCTTTGCCTGGCACTGCCACTACAGATGTGCCTGTTTACCAGATGTCGCGTACGATCCAGTCTGTCACCAACCTGTGGCGTGAGTGGAGTGTGGGAATGCCTGGCCAGCCTGCAGTCCAGGATCTGGAGTCTTCGTACGGAGCGGCATGGAGGAAGAAGGACTGTGAGTGGATGTTCTTCAGCAGGCGGAAGGTCATCATTGATGAGATTGTACGGCGAAATAAGGCCTCAGGATTGCCCTCAATCTTACAGACTGTTGAGGAGATTGAGTGTCTTCGCGTACAAGGCAAGATGACCCTCAACCAGCTATCCAAGATGCTGCGGAAGCGATCATGAGGCCCCTCTCCCTCTCTCCCCCCTTCGTACGGCTTGGGTGTGTGTGTGAATATTTCATGTGAGAACCCTTATATTTTTTTAAGTATCTTTGACGTACGATCCAGAGCCTATCTAGAGTTGAACCCAGCCTTGACAATATCCCAGATATTGGTAGGTGGCGTTGGTGGTGTGGTGTTCCATATCACAGATATCACAAGGGTTGGGTTACGAACACGTGTAACCCGTGGATCGTATACCTTACGGGAGAACCTAAGAGGTACTAACAAAGATCATTATTATACAACAGGGAGAAAGATCCAAAGACAGAAAACAAAATCCCAACATCAATTGTACGCTTAGTACTCCTGGTATTCCCACAAAGCAAGTCAAGAGTCTCAACCTTCGCCATTCTAGAATAATTTTCCTTGAGGCACCGCCAAAAATATACAAACAATGAGAGAACCGGCAACAAATCCCATTCCGATAGAACGCGCCAGGACTATAATATAAAGCCGTCGTACCGCGGGATCTTGAGACCGTATTGAAGGCCCAAAAGCTCTCTTGAGAAAAGAGCGTTTCTCATACTTTATTACCCATGGTTCATCATCATACGAAGTTGCGGATTCGAACATGTCCAGTGACTTTCCGTTCAGCTGGATTCCATGAAGGCTCTGCTGTTCTATTTCCCGAAAGAGCTCCCATCGATGCAACTGGGGTCTAAAAAGACAAACAAAAAGCTAGGATGCGAGTATTAGCTCGAGGTTCTGAGTATCACGGGAAGGTTTTTTGGTTTTCAGCAGAGTTGCCTGGGATTTCGTAGCTCACCATATATGTCCCCTCCATTACAGCGATGCAACAGGTTAGGCCTGGCACCAGGAAAAATGCAGAAAATAATCTCCATGCGCGATGCACAGAGCTTAGTATTGGCATGATACCAAGCAACAATCCCAAAAATATCAAAAGAAACCCCCCTAATAGTGAACAGAGGATGCGGTGATGATTATCGTTACCCAGTGCCCACCGGATAAATTGGGGGTGGGACTGTTGACGCAGATTCCATTCGACTCCTTCGGCTACTCGGTCAAATGCAGATGGGTGGGTGGTGATAGTGAGGGCTTGTACCAGGGCCTTGCGTTCAGTAGATGTTAGGTTCAACTGACTTGGGCTTCCATCGGAAAGGTATATTGCGATGATTCGATTTATTTCTTTTCGAAATGGTTGAGCAGGGACTAGAACAGAGACACTTTAGCAAACACGGCTTCACAATCTTTCAAAAATAGAAATACAATGAACATACGAGGTAGACGAGAACCAACGGAATAAGCTGTGGCTGCCGTGGCGCCGTTTATTGAATCTCGATCATCCGACGTCGGGGAGTGGTTATCCCAATCCCCCAAACTCTGAAGCGAGTGGGTGCTTTGGGGGTATTCTGAGTGACACACATCCAGCGACGAGGTTAGAGGTGTCAGGTCATACAATTCGTTTTTTCCCTTGCTCCCGAATCCTGAGTCAACTCGGGTCACGGCAGCTTTGGGAACGGATATCTTTGGTATAGTACTCGATCCGGTGGTGCGTCTCGATGTTTTGGTACGGTGGGTAGTGGTCCACGGGGGGGACAAGGCGCTCTGGGATTCGGGGAGAGCTGCAAAACGATATATATAATCCCTATACCAGAGGTAGAATCGAAGATTTTCTGGCGCCATCTCAACATATTCCATATAATTCATGAAATCCAGCACTCCACATGGCTAACAACCAGGAAAAATTGATTGATTTATTAGCAAAAGGGATCAACCAATGGGAAGTTTAGAGGATCTGATGGTTTTCGATGTTTAGAAACCAATACTTACAGAACAGGTGTAGCCATTCACGATCATGTCGAAGGACAAGGAATCCACATTGCGACCAAATAGAGTAGTTTTCCATCTCTTCCATTTTCCAGCCAGATTGGCTTCATTAGGCAACTCACTGGGCCGTACATGATAAGAACGCCGGCCCAATCTTGTGAGAACCATCCTGATCTAAAGAACCAGCCATTCGCATGATGATGGGGAAACGAGAAAGAGAAAGTCTGTAGAAGAAATATGGAAGTATTCGGTTCCAGGGAGAGTCAGAAAAGCAGCTGATACAAACTTGGCGATCTACACCATTGCTGATCGTTACGAGGGGTGATCAGTCCGGCAATGATGTTATTGGACATCCCGCCCCTGCCCGACATGCATGGACAGACATGTCGACAGCATTGCCCCAGTAGCTTAAAAGTCAAGGGAGACACAAACCCTCCCTAGGCTGTCTTGTCCACTGGGATCTTTGTTCATTGTTTTGAACACGATACCATCTTCCGTTCTATTCTAGAAACTCAGCCCGAATTATCAGTCCTTAATTTACTTGTACGCTGATAAATCCAGAGAGGTTGACGAAAGGGAAAAAAATCATGGTTTGCGTCAAGCAGGGTGATATGATATGCAGGAAATTACCCCCTACAAGGGGCTTTAGGGGTGGATCACCTTTTTTTTCCTTCTCTCTCGTCGCTCCTTTTTCTATGTTTTGTTCACGGACTACGGAAGCGAAGATGATACTTTGGGTTCACTATTGAATTGTGAAGCAGCGATGTCAACCACACCCTGGTGATTTTATGTCTTGCTTAACTATGTCGAGGTATCACCACGAGGTTCAACGTTGACGAAAAGGGGTAACTAGGATTATTAGAATTTTGGGTTCTGGGTTCAATCCTGACGGGTTCCAGCGATTGTTTAAAAGGAGGCAGGGGCACTTGACGGGCGGAACTGATACCCGCAACCCTAGACTAGCCTGCAAATGAGGGGGGTGCAACTGGTTGTTCCAGAATAAATTGCCACTATGAAATAAGGATGTCTCGTGAGACCAGTGGTTAATAGTAGGAGATGTAATGCGGTTTGCACCACCACGGCTAAGGGTCGTGTTTGGTTGCAGAAGCATCAGAAGAGCCAATCAAATAGGAGACCGTGTTCGCATTCCGATCGTGTTTGAGCAGGGATTGGGCCTGCATGCAATGGACAGGAGGCCAGAAGATATAATAATATCCATCCACATATAGTTATGTTCTGGCAAAATCCTTAGTTCCAGATCCTTCGCTGGGTGTCTTATCCTCACCTCTGCATCTGCATCCACTAGGTATATCCATAGCCAAGGGAGAGAGGGGTTCTCGCCTGCTTCATCCAACCCTGGACTTGTCAACATGGATGCTTGTTTCTTTTGAGGGGTCATATTGAACTGAACACTCTCTGAATCTTCAACATGTTATATTACTCTAAAGACTTATAATAATAGTTAACAACTGGGGAATAAGTAGGATAATCTTATCTCTCACAATATTCAGTGATGCAATGTCGCGTGTCTCTCCCAGTTGTTTTCCGTAACCCGTAAAACAATAAGACATTGATCCTTCAGGGAAGATTGGATCGCTTTCGCGGATATGCCTGATACGTACGGAGTTGAAGTATGCACCCCGTATCTGATCTCTTCTTCTCCGCTTCCTTTTCCTTCTTTCGACAGGGAGCCAGGAATTTGAGTTGAGGTTGGTTAGGGGGTGGCTCAATTAGCGAGGATGGATTGAACCTTCAACAACAGCGCCAGTGGTGTAATGGCTATCATTACTGCCTTCCAAGCAGTAGACCCGCGTTCGATTCGCGGCTGGCGCATTTCTTTTTTTTTCTCTCTGTTTTTCCCTCAGGCTGAACCGAATTTTAATTCTAACTAAATTTCGTTTTCCTTCTTTTTCTTTCTTTTTTTAGTTCCAAATCGGGGAAAGATGATGTCGTCGGTCACATGCAAAAATCACTGTCCCAGATAGGAAACCCACTCGTCGCTCTCGGTCATCCTCAACGAACAGCTGATGGGGATAGACGATGTTTAGTTTAACAATTAGCCCCTCATTTCCTCCTCTCGTTCCCCAGTTTCTACGGACTGAATGCATGGATCCGGCCTCAATCCATTCGAGATTCCCATCGCACCGTACGCTGAACTATGCCGACAGATGAACAGCCTGCCAAAGGATCGGAGCTGATAACACGCAACTCACAGCAAATTGTCTACAGTAATGACGACGATGATCGTTCTCGGCAAAAAACTGTTTTGCCTAGACCCCTCGCCTCTTTGGTCAGCCTAGTTACGCATTCCACCTCGCTGTCTTTCCGGTTCTGGACATACGTTGGTGGTTATGCAATCGATAGCGCCCGAGCTACGACACTGACTGGGTTGGAGCTGAGTAGAGCTGTTGTAGAGGGTATTCTAATCCGTGCTGGCCGAGATGTGGCATCGCGTAGTGGCCATGAGTACGGGAGGAATGAAGCCGAGACATTATTAGAAAGAAGCGTAAGTTTGCCCCCAAAATTTATCATCTTGAATACTTTCCCTATATATATATATATATATGTATCATATACCCTAGAACCAATCACAGCTCTAACTTCTTCCGAAAAGTTGGCAACGCTTCACAATACCATCACATCCGCTTCGTTCTTCGCTTCAGCAAGCTTCCATTTCTCCTCTGTAACTCTTTCGTCGGTCTCGGGCTTTTCTCAAAATCTTCTTTCGACATTAGACGCCATTTTAGGATCTTCTGAGTCTTCACGAGCCATCGCAGCAATTATTACCTTGATTCGGAGGGAATTTCGAAATCCCGAGCTTCGAAGAGGGGGTGAGGTTGTTGGCGTGGGAGACTTGCTTGTGGGCTCCATAGGTTTCGTTTTGCTGCAAAGATGGGGCAGAAGAAAAACAGACAGAGAAAACAGGCAAAACAGTGATGAAGAGACTATTTGGGACATCGTGATTCTAGACAATGGCCTACGAGCGGACGTTGTTGGCAGCCATCAAAGCCAATTCATCAACGACCCTGATACACCCGAAACTTCGTCGATCCGCCCGTCAAGCTTTATGGTTCCGGATGCCATCGATGGGAGAGAGAATATCGAAATTATTGGAAGGAATAATTCATCCATAGATCGTCTCGATAAACTTGTGCCTCATTTATCGCTCCCAGCGGATCGCCAATACGAACTTTCTGACGATGATATCCGGTTATATATAATGGATCAATTGCCACAAGGATGCCGTGCAACCATCAAGACAGATAAGGTAACAACGAGAACGATAACAGTGAATGTTTTTGATACCAGAAGCGTTGACATACAACCGCCTCCTGGAACCACGAAGATTGGGGAAACCGTACATTCTGAATTGAATACTATACCAGGAGGTACTGACATACTGAATGACCTGGTGCCTAAACATACAATTGTTTTTCGTACGGGGTCGAATCACATTCAAGACTCGCAGATGGTCCCGTCCGCTCCACCAACCCCAGTCCCAGGCTCAGAATCTAGGAAACACTCTGGCAAAGTATGGGATATTCCAGAGAACACTCTGATGGATTCCGATAGCTCCGATGCTGGGCTCCGACTGAAACCTAGGACGGTACCGTACCGACGCATGAGCTCTGACTCCCTAAGCAGTGGCTCAGAGACCCCCCGGGGAAGCTTCGTGAAACGCTCACCTCACAAATCAAACTCAAATTCTGCAGAAAGGGCAGGAAATAACTCACCGAGAAAGATATCTAAGGTGGCGGCAAATTCTTTTCCGAGAACGACCCTTGTCCGCGGAAACTCCAGAAACAAAGGAGGTATTCGCGCCAGCAAGCCGCATTCTAGCGAGCCTCCTCCATATTCTGGTTCAATGAAAGATAACCCTGCCTCGAATCAATCAACTAGGGCTCGTCTGACTCTAGGAGGAGATCCGACAAACAGAATCAGGCCTTTGTCTCCGCAAGAAGGAAAGTCTTCAAGAGGAGGCAAGAGACCTGATTTCTCCCGCAACAGCTCTTATTTTGATGACCTTTCTCCGGGAAGCCCTCAAACCTCTAGTCATTATTTGATCCACGGGAAGAGCTCAGAAACCTTTGTTGCGCAGACAGACGCTTACTCAACGCGCCCTCAAGAAACACAGCCAAAGCACAACCACTCTAGATCCCGAGATCGTATTCATAGTAGTACCTCGCTATCAAGGACCCTACCTGAAAAAGATTTACCAATATCGTCCGTAGATATCAGCCGTTCTGGCAGTCCCGCGATGTCGCGCCGAAATTCTTTCAAATCCGGAGCACCAAGTCTCTACTCGATTGCAACCGGTTCAGATACCTCGCTCTTGTTGGCACCTCGACCAGGCAAGAGTGCATATGATGATCAGGCCGCACTCTCATCTCTCTCTCGCACAGGCCATATACCAGGGCTATACCCTTCGAACAATTTAGTACAGAATATCCGACGCTTCTCCCGTTTTTCCTCTGCGTCTTATGGGTCAAATTTTCTCCGCGTCATGGGAATTTCTACCGGCTCCCGAAAGAGGGATCAAGACCCAATGGCCCATTACGAGCACAGTTCTTTCTCGGATCACACTGGATTGCCGGCATCGACTATCCTTCTATCATCATTCGTTGATCCGGCTGGCTGCCCAAGTTCCACTGGAAAATCGGATGAAGGGTTTCCGTTGGTTCATTACTTATCGCTAGACCACGAATCCAAAGCTGCGGTTTTAACTTTACGGGGCACATGGGGGTTTCAAGACATTCTCACTGATATGACCTGTGATTATGATGACTTGCACTGGATGGGCCAAACCTACCAGGTCCATAAAGGAATGTTAATCTCAGCACGGCGACTCTTAGAAGGTGGGGGAGGACGAGTAATGGCAACTATCAAGGCTGCACTGGAAGAATTCCCAGAGTACGGAGTGATATTCTGTGGCCATTCTCTAGGAGGCGGTGTAGCAGCACTTCTTGCAACATTGATATCACAACCCCATGATCTCGATATACCCGGCCCATTATTCCTAACTTCGTCCCACCAAGCGACAGCCGCTCAAACCCCGCGTAATGTCCAACAGCAGCCGGGGCAATTCTGTCTTCCCCCGGGTCGACCAGTCCATGCATATGCATACGGTCCTCCAGCAGTAATGTGTCCATCCTTACGACTAGCGACGCGCGGCTTGGTGACAACCATTGTCAATGGGCAAGACATTGTGCCGAGCCTTTCGCTGGGTGTTCTACATGATTTCCACAACGTCTCGCTTTCATTTAAACGCGACGTTTCCGATGCCAAGTCCCAGGTGAAATCTCGAATATGGGATGCTATTTCCCGCAGCATCGCTAACAAATTATATATGGATCCACCCATTTCGATACACGCCGGCGACGATATCGGTGAAGATTCGTGGGCATGGAACACGCTGAAATCGCTTCGAGAGAACCTTACGGCGCTCAAGCTGCTACCCCCTGGCGAGGTTTTCATTGTTGAGACTATGCGGGTCCTACAACGCGATGCGTTCGCGAGGGATGTTTGTGGTGGAGACGGATATCCTAGGCTAGGTCGACCAGCTACGCGTGTTCAGCTGAAGTATATCCGAGACGTAGAGTCTCGGTTTCGTGAAATTAGATTCGGATCGGGTATGTTAGGAGACCATAGCCCGGCTAGATATGAGGCTAGTTTGAGTGTTCTTGCGAGAGGGGTGTTAGAAGATTGATCGCATACTACTTCTCGTTTTGTCGGGTTAGCGATGGTCATAATGATTTTTCATGAACATGGATGAATGGGCTTTTCCTTTTATTGGGATGTTAGATACCTTTTTCGGGCATTTTTTGAGATTTCGGTTGGGATGTTTTTGGCATGTTGGATAACTATATATACCCATTCATTCATTCATTCATGATAGACGGAAAGTGGGATAGATTTTTGTACGCATTGTTCAAAGTTGATGTAGAGGCAGCGAACTCATATATATATACATGCATATAGAACTACCAGCTGTTCACAGCCAATCAATATACATCAATCAGATAACAACTCTCTCCTAATCGCCTGTAGGAAGTCGTGGAGTGTATGTACGATGCCGAGAATATTGCCTTGCTTAATAGCCAATTTCAACAATCCGACTCGTGTGGGTAGGCAGACAGGCTCTTCCTTCCATCGACTATCGTTCGTTCATCTTGGATCTCCCTCGAGCCAAAGTCATTTTCAGCACACAAGCTATCGAGACTTGGCCGAATCCTGAGAATTAGGATGGTCCGTAACAAGGCTCGTCGAGAGGTAGAGCTCAACATCCACTCCACTCCATCTGGCGTGTTCATCCGCCTCAATCCCGTCAGGAATATAAACGTAAGCCGCGGTTCAACCAAGCATTATCTCCTCAGCCACGGTTTCCGTCGTGATGTTGTTGGTTATGTTGCTCTCGGTTCAATTTGTCTGCCTGGCGAGCGTCGATGCTTCGAATCTGCTCTTCGAGCGTGTTTCGCTTCACGACTAATCTGTCCCGCACGGCAATGAGCGCATTGATTTTCTCTTCGGGTGTAGCTTGCTGCTCCTGCTTCACTCTCTATTGGCAAAATTAAATATAATTAGTTAGGTCTGCAGGTGATAGAGGGTGTAGATAGAACATTGGACTGATTATTTTTACCTGTTTCGCCTCCTGGTCCATCTTCATGCTTGCTCCCCAGAGAGCTCCGGTGGCAGTGATAACGGCTACAGAGCCGGTTAGGAGGACAGTCCTTGCTCTGGATGAGGACGACATGATCTAGAAAACACCACAAACAAATTGGCCTAACTGGTTGTCAAGAATGCTGAGAAAAATATGATGTTCTGCGTGTTGGAAT